TGTAGTTTAGGGCAGCTGTGGCAGAGTGGGTAGGGGAGTTGTCCTGTCATTTTTCTTTCAATCAGTAATTTCCCTCATTTGACCATGCCCAGGTACACCTCAATCACAGCTGCAGCTTCTCTTCTCATCAGCCCCAGTCTTAATAATCACTCACCTCACCTCATCAGTCAAACATTGTTGTACGTTATGTCGTGTATGTTTGTCCCTGTGATACAAAAATGTCAATAAACATGGCAGCAAATCTTTATTCAGAGTGTTTGTACAAATTATGCTTGCAAACACTTCGTGCAAACAATCTGGAATGGAAGTAAGAGGACCACTTTAACTGCTCTTTGTTTTATTTTTCCAACAAAGCACACAAGCCAAGGAACACTCCACCCATCAGCGTTAAAAATCACAATAACTGAGGTCTACGTGGTATTCTGTGCATATAAACAGCGTTTTAAAACATCCTCTTCCATTTTCCCACAGGGAACTCCCACTGGAGAGGCATTCCAGTTTTAAATTCGCAACTTGTAAGTGGGGAATTCCAACTTCCAATTTTTGCCATTTTCTTTTGAACCCTGTGCAGCTCCACCTAGTGGTGGGGTGCTGTCATTCTACAAGTAAAAGAATCAACATGCATCATGGGATATGTAGTCAACGTAGTGAGCTTTTGTGAAATGCTGTGGAGGGCAACATTTTCTTTTCCCCTTCCATTTATAGGAAAAAAATTCCTCCTTTGCTGCTCACTTCTGATCAAGAATTGGCCATGTATTTCTTTTTCTCTTACTTTAACCTGTCTGATTGGCACTGTAGGCTATTTTCTAAGGAAGAATATTATTAAAACTAATGCAAACAACTTAGTTTTTTTTATTGATTTAGTTTTTTTAATGAAATGACCAGCTAAACATATTATTTCTTTGCCTCCTGTTGTGTGTTTGTGTACAGGATGTTTTGTGACATTTATATGCAGACTTTGCTCATATAGAACGCGGCTAAAGCAGCTGTATTGTACATTAAATTAACAAAACTGAATTTTTTAAAAGACCTCCTAGTTATATTTTATAATAAATTGCAATTTTATATTTATATTTATTTATTTCGAACAGACTTTAAAAC